AGTATTCATATAATCATGCTGTAAATGTGATTGGTTGCTGTTTTCCTCAATCGGCCATAAGAAGGAGCCAGAATGCCTGTTAGCTCTTTCTCTGTTCGTTAGATGCTGGGCTGATCTGATCTGAGTGCCGTGAGCTATTATGTTTTGCAACTGTTAGCAAACCTTGATTACTGCACTGATTATATGAATACTGGACTATGTTATTTGGATTATCCCTTAACTGAAAGACATTGATGACTGACTGTTTTATCTGTGTATGACTTGGACTGTTTGATGGACTCTGGTACCTCTATTTCCACGAAAGTAAAAACCTATTTAAACTGCAGTGTTTCTGTATGCTGGTTTGTGTATTCTCCAACACAACTCTTACAACGCTTAGCTGAACGTACTCACTCTCCCAATGGGAAGCTTACCTAACACTTATGATCTGCTTTTTGTTCAGAAGCATAAGGTACTCTACAGAGTGCTCCCTCCATCTCTTTACCTCTACAACAGTGGTTTTCAACCTGTGGGTCAGGATACCTTTGGGGATCGAACGACCCTTTCACAGGGGTCACCTAAGACCTTCGGAAAACACATATTTTCAAAGGTCTTAGGAACCGTGACACCAATTTTATGGTTGAGGGTCACCACAACATGAGGAGCTATATTAAAGGGTCGCAGCATTGGGAAGGTTGAGAACCACTGCTCTACAACAACGTGATGTAGCTTGGGCAGAGAAAATAACTGACTGAAAATCACCCATTGCCTGTCCATGGCTGAGGATGGACGTGAATCTGGATTCCTCTTGTACAAGACAATCATATTAACTATTGTACCATGGTGACTACTTACCCACTGACTTATTGTATATTCCACCTTTCCATTGTGGGATGCTCAAGGTGGCTTAAGAGGAAAAGCAAAATGATACAACATCTCGTGACGAAACTAGATCAGGGGTGTAGTAGAATAACAGCCTTCCTGATCTCCATTTTCACTGGCTGAGTGCTCAGGCCATCACAGGCACTCCTGACACAAGTGTCGTTGAGTTGGCCATGACCCTCCCAGCCTCCCAAGGTCAAATGCAACCCTAATGTGGCCCTCAATTAAATTGAGTTTGACACTCCTATATTAGGCCGTTAATAACACTTTTTTTAAGACTAAAAGGCAGCTTGTAAGCTAAAACAAGCCAGGAGGAAATAGTTGTCAGTTGGACAGAGTACAAATTGGGAAAACAAAAATGATCAGAATGAGATTATGTAAAAAGTGGTAGCCTTGTGACAATCATTCTATTTAAGCACTTAGAAAGAGTTCTTTGTTGTAGTTCTAAAGATTTACTATTTGCATTCTATCCATCTTTTTCTTTTCCATCTTTTAGAAAAATATTTCTAAAGTTTAAATTGTTTACAATCAAGTTGTTTTCTGAGAACATGAGAACTAGTAGCCGTAGAGAAGTATGAATAAGAAAGAAGATAATCTCAGTATAAGAAATTTAATATTAGAGAGTTCAGTACTTATTTGGAGAAATAAGCCAAGGAAATCTCTGGTTTCAGAGAATAGATTAGACTAAAAGAAGAAAGGAAGCAATGGGGGGGGGGGACACTCCACATTATTACTAAGAAAAGTACATGGGTGTAGTTTGTGTAATCACCAGGGATTGTCTGATTTATGGTACAATATATTCTTTTTCCTTATTTAAGACTAGCTGATAACCCGGCATTGCCCAGGTATTTATTTATAGGGAGAAAATGTCTAGACCAAACGTAATTTCTAATGTTTGATTTTGCCCCTTACCAGAGGGAGCCCCCTTGTGGAGTACTGTGAAGCCATTACCATGGCAACTCTACTGCGACGTGGAGGTGTACAGTGCAGTACAGTAAAAGCCATTTTATGGCAGTACAATAGAAATCATTTTAAAGCACAACAGGCTGTATCTTAACAGAACACACACCCCAAGGGGTGTTAGGGGTGTTTTACCACCACAGTATTTTTTGCAGAGCAAGTCATTTATATACCAAGTTTGGTTGAAATTGCTTGAGGCGTTTCAGAGTTATGCTTGAACACACACACACACACACACACACAGACACACAAAACATGCTAACTCACATAAGGGAAGTCTGGGTCTGGACTAAATAAGCCATGTTCTCCAATATATAGTTGCTTTTTGTTTTTTTGGGTTTTTTTTGGTGTAGGCAAATGCAATGTTTTAATCTATTGCAATTGTGGAGAAAGATTATTAGAAACTCATTTTACATCTTTTGGGAATAAATAGGAATTGCTGGATTGCATTACATTTAAATTGCTAATAAAGGCCAATTACTTTGGACTCCATGAATGTGCCTGAAGACTTCAGATACATTCATATAGGACAGTGTTCCCAATCTTTTTTGGGCCAGGCCCCACCTAAGCAACTCTAAAATCCTGATTCACCCCCTTTCCCCGGTGACTTGTAATTCTTGCTTTACTCAGAAAGTGAACTCTACTCATGCGTAAAAAGCCTAAAAGGCCATTAACTTGGTTTAAACA